AGAGAGAGAGAGAGAGAGAGAGAGAGAGAGAGAGAGAGAGAGAGAGAGAGAGAAGAGAGGAGGGGAAGGGAGATTCTATGGTGGAGCTGAATATAACTAAGATATAACTAAGAGGAGATAGAGTTAGGGAGATTCTATGGAGGATGTGGATTTTGTGAGGTTTGGGAGAAGGAAGAAGAGGAAGAGCAAGAGCAAGAGCAACGACTGAGAAAAAAAAAACTAAGCGAAGGATGGGCAATAGGCTGTCAATAGGGAGTTTTTATAAGGGGCATTAGTGATTGGGTTTCAAAATAAGGATATTAGTGAATAAATTGGGTGAGCCAGGGGTAAAGCCGCCAATTTCCCTTTTTCAAAAGCCCTCTCTCTCTTTCTCATTCGCACTCTCGCTCTTTCACTTTCATTTTCATTATCGCTCTCTCTCTCTCTTCTCTCGTTCCTTCTCACTCTCACGATTTCTCTCTTCTCTTTCGCTCTTTCTTTCTCACTCTTGCTCTGCCTTTCTTTCTCTATCGCTATGGCTAGCTCGTGCTCTCTCAATGGCTCGCTCACCCCTCACTCAGTCTCTCTTCCTCCGTTGTAAGCCCTAATTATGTTTTTTGTAATATCTATTTTCGAATTATATAGAAATTGGGGAAGTTTTAAAAAAAAGAATTTCTAGGTCTTTTTCTGGGAATATGATTTGTTTTTTAGGTTTAATTTTTTAATTTTTATGGATTTGAAGTTGAAGAGTGTGGTAATGGTGCTGCTTGTGATTCTTTTCTCGGTCATCCATTTTTAGATGAAGCCATTTACACTTATCTAGCCTTTGCTCTATCTTTTACTTATATGAATTTGTATACATCCAGTTCTTTGCATAATTTCTACTGTTTGAGGACTCTTATACCCAATTGGAAGAGCACTTGAAATGTTTGGTCTGCTTTCATTCACTGATATGAATTCGATGTTTATAGGTGTTCAATTTTTTTATGTATCCAGGGTTCTATTGCTTGCAAAAGGGACTGTTGTTCAAATCATTTATAAAACTAATTTTTCATTTTGATGCATGTCTCTTCTTGATTCTCCGTGTTTTGGACAGAATTGGGGGTTAGATTCTTCTTTTCATGCTGGGTAGTATTGTTGTTGATATATTTTTCACGAATTTCAGTTTTGTTTTTTATTTTTTTAATTTCCAAGGTCTTGCTGGGAAGGCAACAAATCAATATTATGGAAATGATTTGAGGTAATCCCTAATGCATTACAGGAAACTTATTTATTTCTCACAATTTATTATGTTTTAGATTTGGTTCCATTTCCTCTTTTAATTTTAGTTCTCATTCTTTTTTTTTCATTTTTTTTTTTCAAAGTTTTCATTATTTGTTGGGTCCAACAAGTATATGGCTGAGAATTGAAATTGTTTAAGTTTGGTATGTGATTTTGCATTTTGTCCTATAATAGGAATAGTGTCATGGGAGAGAATCGTAGACATAAGATGGTGTGGGCTACATATAATTCCCTCACTCTCAAATTAAGTTGTAAAGCAACCGAAGCCTTGGGTATCACAGATGAAGATGCATTTTCATGTTTATTACGGTTGGTCTTGTTTGCTCTTTTTAGAAAATGCAAAAGTAGCTGTTTTGGGATTTTTTTCAATGAGCTGTTAATTTTCTTTCAGAAATAAGTTTTCCACTTTTGATTTTTTATTCTAATAATGCAAGAATTTTTTCACTTTTGTTTTTTTTGCAGATTTTAGATGATGCGAATGTTGTAGCTGACATTCATGCAGATGCTAATCTAGGTATCACTCAGGGTAATGCTTTAATATTTTATATGCCTCAAGACAGGAAAATCTTGAAGAGTGACTATATGAGATGGAGAAATTGAATAATCCCTTTCTTTCTTTTTTTGGTAACAAGGGGGCCTAAAAGCCCAGCACAGCAACACCTAAGCAGCAACAAAACGATGCCTGGACACACCCATGGCATCAGCATACAAAATATCTTTCAGGAAGTCAGGAACTGTCTCATAGAGATGAATCCCAGGACCAAAATCAATGCTCCTAGCAGATAAAGCATCAGCAGCAAAATTCTGCTCACGATAGATATGGTTTATAGAACAACGCCAATCCTTCTTGATCTTTGACTTGCAACAAACTATGATGCTGAAGAGGGGATGAGTGGGACTAATCCCTTTCTTTTCACTTCAGCAGTATCTAATTGCTTCCAAATCACCAACAAGCTCAAGTGTAAAAACTCTGTTCAGTTTCAATGACGATTGTGTTGTTGAGGCTTGAGAGTTATATTGTTTCTAAGCAGATTAAATGATATCGTCTCATAGAGATGAATCCCAGGACCGAAATCAATGCTCCTAGCAGATAAAGCATCAGCAGCAAAGTTCTGCTCACGATAGATTTGGTTTATAGAACAACGCCAATCCTTCTTGATCTTTGACTTGCAACAAACTATGATGCTGAAGAGGGGATGAGTGGGACTAATCCCTTTCTTTTCACTTCAGCAGTATCTAATTGCTTCCAAATCACCAACAAGCTCAAGTGTAAAAACTCTGTTCAGTTTCAATGACGATTGTGTTGTTGAGGCTTGAGAGTTATATTGTTTCTAAGCAGATTAAATGATATTATGTGTTGGTTTTGGGATTTCTCAATAGGGTCGTTTCTTGTAACTTGGCATTCTCTTCTACTGAGAAACATTCATGCATTTGCATAAATGAATGCTTTAATGTAGAGGTTATTGTTGTTATAATACTCTCTGTGCCAATATTTAAATTGGCTTTTAATTTTCCAGTCCTTGCTGGTACCCAACTTTTGCATGAAGAAGAAAGCTCAGGGAATTGGACTTATGCTTTTTTTGCTAATTGTGTTGATAATTTTTCTCGCTGGTAAGAATTTTGAGTTTCCTCTCATTGCATGAAGAAGAAAGCTCAGGGAATTGGATTTATGCTTTTTGTGCTAATTGTGTTGATAATTTTTCTCGCTAGTAAGAATTTTGAGTTTCCTCTCATTATAGAATTCCAAATAACTTTCTAAACAACACAAATTGGAGTTTCCTCTTAAGTTCTTCTCTGCATTTGAATCAAAAGAAGTGGGCATTTATATTTGGTAATGAATATGTGCATGATATGAGACTATTGGTGTTGGACAAGGTTGATGTGTTCATTGGTTGTATCTCTTAATTCTTTAAATTTATGTCTTACCTATACTGGCAGATTGATGTGTACATGGAGGCTTAAACTACAAAGACAAGTGCTAAAGAAAGTCAAGCTTCAAAGTTAGAAAGTTCTACGTTTTACTATACTAGATAGTTTGGTTTATTTCAGCATGAATTGTTTTCAATGTAATTTTTTTTATGTTTTTAAAATATCATTTCTCAAGATAGTTAACATGTTATCGGGAGTTTTTGAATGTTTGTATCTAAATATTCTATTTTAGTGGATATTAAATTTTAGCTTGTTATTTTTTTAATATATTCATTTAGCTACTAAATTCTTTTGAAACTTTAGTCGTCTAGGAAAGTTTTTTTTTCTTTTTTTTTTTCTTTTTTTCCTTTTTTTTTTAAATTTTAGTTATACAACTCTTGACAGCTAAGAACCATCAAGAAACTTTTATTAAATGCCAAGAAATATATTTGTTGATACTTATTAAGCGACAAGAAAAGCTTTCGTTGACTGTTTTTCACTAATTCGTGATGGTTTTTACCCGTGAGGAAACACTATTTCTTGACGGGTAATAAGCGTCAAGTATGGTGGTACCCTTTCCTGACAATGGCGTCCCTGACGCTTTTGGAACCGTCATCTAATGGCTATAGTGACGCTTTTTAGCCGTCGGTAAAGGGTGTTTTTCTTGTAGTGAATACACAAATATCATACCCTCTACAAATTTATTCCAACACAGACTTGAAAAAAAAGGATATACGAGAGCAATACAGTAGCAATACACAAGCAATAAAGGGTTATACAATGGCAATACAAAAACTCCATACTCCCCTATAAATTTATTCCAACACAAACTTTAAAAAAATGGATATATGAGGGCAATACAATAGCAATACACAAGCAATATAGGGTAATACAATGGCAATACACAAACATCATACCCCCTACAAATTTATTCCAACACAGACTTGAAAAAAATGGATATACGAGGGCAATATAGTAGCAATACACAAGCAATAAAGAGCTATACAATGGCAATACAAAAACTCCATACTCCCTTATAAATTTATTCCAACACAGACTTGAAAAAAATGGATATATGAGGGCAATACAGTAGAAATACACAGGCAATAAAAGGCAATACAATGGCAATACACAAACATCATACCCCCTACAAATTTATTCCAACACAAACTTGAAAAAAAAATAATAATAAAGATATACGAGGGCAACACAGTAGTAATACACAAGCAATAAAGGGCTATAAATACTTTATAAATCTTCCCCTAGGTTGGAGTAGGTCCGCCCTTGATCCCATGTAGTTTAAACTATTGCTAGTATTAAAAATAGAAATAAAGGAACTCAACGGCATACGTGGCTTAACACCAGCAACGCGCAATGCGAGAAAGAAAGCAGGTTAATTCATCTCCTGTTGCTGGCAACCAATGTCTAAGATATTGACGGAAATATAAGTGGAAAAAATAAGGGGAAAGCAGATTAGTTTCTTGCGCACATTACTGTGGGAAAATCCGTTTTTGCATACCATTCTTTTAATGGGAGTTCATTGAAAATTTAAAGGAAAGAAATCAAATTTCAGCAATAAAACTCACATTAGTCAGGAGAACCGCGAAAATACAGAAAACAATTTATTTAAAATGGGTACAATGAATGAATCATTTATTCAATTTTTTTCCAGTTGGAAAACAGAAACTTTCATTGATTTATTGACATTATACAACATAACTTACAATCCCTAAATTTAAAATATCACATTTCAAATGGCCATGCCCTAACCTAGAAACTGGTCACCAAAGATCTAAAAAAATTAAAGGAAACAAAGTACCAAAAAGGAGTATGAGATAAACTTCTGCTACTTTATGGATATGAAGGATATAAAAAGAATCCGCTGAGCTAATTCTGTACAGTTCACTGTACAGCAGTGTATTTAACCCAAAATGTAAACTGAAATAAACGAACAGGAGGTGCCTCTATTTCTACCTAATTTAAGATGGGTTCTTCACAATCCTAACGCTGCTGTAGAAGCGCCTAAGGTCCTTCATAGCCTTTTCCTCAATCTGAATTGATCGAATCGATGAGGGTGTATCCACCTCTGGTTTGAACCAGCGGTTCACTCCAGAGGCATCCAATGGTGAACCCTGACCATTAGTGACTGAGAATCCAGCCGTTTTAGTCTTTGGACTGTGGGAAAGACTATGATGTTGTTTTCCCTGATTTGAGACATAAATAAAGACACGTATGAGAATGGTAAATTAAACACCTGAAATCTCCATGACTCTGGCATGTGGCAACAAGAAAACAACTCAAAAAGAATGCATGGAATTCAGTACACATAAAAAGGATATTAATGGTCCGAACACATAAGAAGAGAGAGAAAGGGTGCAATTCACATACCTGCTGCATTTGGATGTCCCTAAGAGAGGGGCGAGAAAGAAGGGGAGGAGTTCCCGAAGCAGTCCAAGGAGGTGTACCTCTTTCTCCATCAGATGCCACTGAAGTATGGGTTGCAACCACTGGTATCGAGACCACTGGTATTGGCTTGGAAGGCAAAAACGAACTCAGCAGAATCTTCCCATCACTTCTAGCATTGAAAGGATCTTCTGCATGACCTCTGTTTCTGGTTGACTGACTGTCCTTGGTTTTGCTTTGCTCATCCTGAATCGCACGAAGAGATGCAAATCCTTTCGGGATTTTGGCCCCACCCCATGCAGGGCCTTCACTTTTTGGGGAAGGTGGGGGTGGTGCAATGTATTTGGGGGCATCATCAAGAGCGCCACTCAAGAACATAGAAAGCCCACCCTTTTTATTCTTCTTCTTGGAAGTTATTGGTGATGAACACTTATTCTTGGTTAGGTTAAAATTGTCCTTCTGAACACACAAAGCTGACTCCTTAGTGGTTTGGTTTGTCATAATCCCTTCACTCATGGCATCTTCCTCCTATCAAAGGTACAATTCAAAGAATTTAGCAAATGAGATGAATAATTGCACATCGTTAAAATATGCATTCCCACTAAGTTGTAGAGAATATTTTAACCAGGGAAAGGGATACCAAAAATCAAGCCTTGTTTAAGAAGGCGGCAAAAATCCAATAGTAATTACGAAATGCAAGTTCAGAGTAAATCGCACACCAAGATCAAGTAAAAATGAAAGTGAAGTTAAACTATTAAAAAATGGGTGCAAGCCTTGATGTTCAATCAAAATACATTTTGCCATCTAGGTGGCATAACAAGCTATGGAAAGTTAAAAGGGTGAGACCAAAATCATCATCCGTATTTTGGATATCGCAAATGATCCCTGAATATAAAAGCCCTCACTTTAGTCCTCAAACTTTTGAATCAATAAATGTGGATCCAGTCTTTCGGTCCACATTCTGACTATAAAAAAAAAAATTTCTTTTGGTCCACACATCAATTTGATCCTTGTCGTCGCATTCCATCAAAACTTTCCCCAAAACTGGTCTCGTGTCATCATCTGACAAACTTTAAGGGGCTATTTTTCATCAAAATATAGCCCATCCGCCCAATACACAAAATAAAGCTCACGCCTCTTAACAATTTCAGGGACCATTCACGATAAGAACCCGTTGGATAATGCAAAACAGCAAGTATGAAGTTGTTAACCATCATAAATCATGCACGTCAAAAAATTGAAAAGATTTCGAACCCCATTCAAAGATTCAAACATCTCAAAAGAAAAACTCAATCATCTCAATTAGCTGGAAAAAGATGAGTTAGTGCATAACCATCTTTTACTGAAATCAATTCAAACCTGATAATAAAACAAATTTTGGAATTTAACAAGCTCACCTTATTTTTTGTGGTTTGAGAGATTTCAATACTCAAGAAATCCTTTGTGTGTTTTGGTTCTACTTCATCTCCAGGAAAAGAAGACCCTATATCCACTGGTGTGGCCATCTGTTTGTTCTTTCTCCTCTGTTTTTTTGATAGCTCAACCCTTTTGTTCCCTTTTCCATCTGGCTGAACTGAAGATGATGCCTTGAATTGTGATGTCTCAACTGGAACACCAAGCTCAGCAAGCTCGCTTTCAAGAGCTGGCCTCGTCTGAAGCTTTGTAATTTGCTGGTCATCAAGAAGTTGCCC